ACACTTGCTAAGCCCAGCTTCATTAAAGGTGGAAGGAGAATGAGCACAACTTCCTCTGAACTTTCAATGGTGGCTAACAAGAGTTCAACAATCTGTTAAAAAAGCAAGGTCAGCAAGGCAACAAACTTACATATTCCAACTTGTAAAATAGAGAATAATAAGCGACTCATTGATATGTTTGAACAGTCTTTGGCCATCTAAAGTATCAATACCAAGAGAGTAATTGACACCATTCAAGGTGTAGATCCTAAACATTTTCTTATCAAGGTGTTGTTGACACCATATGATTATGTCAAATTATATACAATTTAGAAAAATTTAAACATTAAGCAAACCAGTAAAATTAATATTAATTTTAAAACTTTCCAAAGTTATCAATGTTTCTTTGGTCAATAGTTGTTTTGACCGTAAGGTCCTTTAAACAATTGATTCAGCACTATCCACTAAATAACAGTATATTAATTACATAAAATAAATGTATTTTATAATTAAATGCTCTCACTTTCCAGTTTCTTTCATCCATATTGCGATTAATCAAGCAACTCTGTAGCCAGTAGGGATGCCACTTCCCACATTTTAAGAGAGTTGACAGAGAGACTTTTTGACTTTATAGTTCATGATATTCTCTTTGGTGAAGTGTATTGGTATATCATTCCTAAGACTGCTTTTTGTAAATTATTCATCAAAACGTAAGAAACACTACAAGCGCCAGGCAAACACTGCCATGACATGAACAAGAATAACCAAAGGACTCAGGCGAAAAACTTTTCACACATGCATGTGTCTACGAAAAGTTATGGCATACCAAATTCATATGAGTAAAAGCTGAATATATAAGATATCTGCTACCTTTTCTATAAGCTGTGGATTTAAGCTATTTTCTGCAATCCATAAAATACGGCTCAGATTATGTTCAGACTGCAATTCTTTGGCCCAAGATATGCGTTCACTACTTTGAAGACCCACAGTTAACAGCCTGTGTCAATATAACAATTGTAAGAGCAGATTACTGAGTGACTGTAGTATGATACATGTAAATTATCAAACTCTGTATAATACACTAGTGGTACTGGAATATGAAAGATAGAGTAAGTATTCTCCTTGCATACCTCACAGATAATGGTTTGTAACAATAGGATTAAAAATGAATTTTAAGGTGATAAATTTCCTTGCCAGGCCAAGGAAAATGCAGGAAGAAATGCAAAAGAGGGACAATAATACACACATGATACAACATAATAGAACAGAAAATGAGGAAATATAAAATATCATATACCAAATCAAGGGAAAATAGATGAAACTTATATATACCTGCAGGCTTCACATAAACACTGAGCATCCTCTGAAAATAACTGATCCACAACTGTTCCAATTAATCCAATTGTAGAGACTAAATGTTTCATGGGAACTTCGTGACAGGCAAGGTTTCCAATAATTCCAAGGGTGATTTCCTGGAATAAGAAAAGAGAATATAGCCAAATGCACAGAACTTCAAAAACTGCCTAGCAATGACATTAGTTTCTACAGAGAGAGAGAGAGAGAGAGAGAGAGAGAGAGAGAGAGAGAGAGAGAGAATCAACACACAACATAAAAAGAGTGTGATAGAAGAGGAGAGGTATGTGTCTCACAGCACCGCGCAGAGAGAGAGAGAGAGAATTTCAACTCAAATCATAAAAAGGATGTCATAGAAGAGGAGGAATTTGTCTAACCGTAGCACGCACAGATTGTGAAACCATAAGGTTCGCTAAAAGCACTTCAAGTATAAGGTTTTGCACCTGCACAGATAATTTTAAAGTCTACCCCAGTAAATAAAATATGAAAAAAGTACAAGTTTAGACTAGAGAAACAATAACCAGATAGCTACACGTGAAGCTAGAAGCCTAGAACAAATCAAAACTACAAATCCAGCACATATTTTTTTTTGTAAAACCACTAAAGTATGGCCATTGCATATGATATTCTTTACAATAAATAGTTCTAGAGTTGACACTGCATTAAGTTGAAATGATAAAGTAGCAATTGTCTTTATCATTGTTAAATGTTATAATCATCATGTCACATTAAGAATCAATATTGCGAATAAAATAAATAAATAATGACTAAGGCTACAGTTCTGGTTTTTGCATCAAATGAGCTTGTCTTCCAATTAATTGGGCTCAACATTATGAAACTGAGAATGACGCATCAAATTCCAAACAAATCAAATTAAACAAGAAGCAATCAAGAGAAATCAACAACAATGAAAAAAAAATCCCACGCACCATGAGTTCTGCATGAGTTTTACTTGCAGCAAGATCCCATAAAATGCAACCATATTCTTCCCAAGCCTCTTCTCCCACTGGGACACTATGGCCAGACTGTTCAGCACCATCATATGAACCATTGTTTTGTCCTTCCTCAGGAGCAATTTTATGAAAATCATCAGCAATTTCCATGCTCTCAGATCCATCATTTGATACGTGCAGAAGTCTATCTCCAGACAGAGTGGGAGCAGTCTTATCTGTATGATCAGTATCTAATCCTAGCACATGGGCATAAAAAACATCACCATGCGAGTTGTGATTATTACTTGCATTAGCCGGTAGAAGCTTCCGTATCAGAGAGATCACATAACTGGGATCTACTGTTGTTGAGATGTCAAAGAACTGGAATGTATGCACAGAAACACATTTCAAACATTAAAATTTTGTCAGTATGCACGAAATCTTGCTCTTATACAAGTTTCCATAACTTATGTCTATATATGCACGCATATATACATGTATTTGTGTGTGTGCAGCATGTGCTTGTCATCAACACAAATTTGCGTGCTTAGTCAAAATATGATGAAATATACTAGGCTAACTGAAAATGTAACTTTGTGCCATGGCCAAAGACTAAAACCCACTTTATCTTATTGAAAGAAGAATTTATGGATAGAATGACGAATGGCGTCATTGAGTATTACAGAAATAATAATAATAATACTAATAAGACTAGAACAATTAAATACTTAAGGACTAGGATGTGTAAGCATAATTTTTTTTAATATCAAAAGGCATTTGAAATGTACTGGGTTAGTAGTATTCAGTTGAGTTAATCATTTTTCATATCCTAACCAATATATAATTAAGTTGCATGGACATTTTAACAGTGAATAAATTGGAAAAACATATAATACCCACATCATAGGTGTCCTCCTAGTCGATGTTTTTTGTCAAAGAAACCCAAGTTGAAGAAGAATTAAAATTCTTAGCTTTCTCATAAATTTCAAGAAAAATAATCGAATCCCAGAACCCCAAATGCTCCAAAACTAAAAAGGGTTTAGTGGAAGCTGAACGGAATAATTGAATTGAGATAAAAGAAAAATTAAAGTGAAACGAGAGCCGTTGATGGTTACCTCATCAGGCGGAGCGGAAGGGTTATGTGCAGGTGCATCATGGCGCTGCACTTGTCGTTCTCGTTCTTCTTGGTCTTCTAGAGGTACTGATTTAGCGTCCACTGCCATTACCACCAGCTTAAAACGAGCGTCGTTCTGTTTGTCAGCTTAGGTTTCCCTCTGTTTTCAAATTTTCTGTTCAGTTCTGTTTTTATCTTCTCTCTCCGGGTCAAATATATATTTTTCTTTTGTTCTATTTTTTTTTTCTTTTTCCAGTAATCCGTTTTTAATGGTACCGAAAACACTTCAAAATACTTTCTTTTGGATTTAATAATTGTTCATTTCATTGCCAAACTGTTGCTAAATTTTTGCAACCGATAGGCCTTGTTTAATTCACGGAACGGATTAAGGGGAAATTACTTTCCCTCTTATTTTTCAAGGGAAAGAAAATAGAATATTCATTTCCCACATTTTATAATACTGAGAAAGTAACCGGGAGATATCACTTTATTTTTATTCCCATGTTTGTTTTGAATATGTATGAAAAACAAAGTTTATATAATTTTTCAATTATATCCATATTAAATCAAATAAAAACAGAATGCTTTAATAATAAATTGCAATTTTAAATTATTAATAGAGACAAAATGATCATGAAAAATGTGCATTTAATATTGACTCATTTTCTCAAACTTTCCCATGAGAAGGGAAAATAAAACCCAAGTTGGGAGGAGGGTTTCACTTTCCCTCTACTTTTATCATGTGCTAGACAACTATTTCTCAAGCATGAACTTATCAAATATGGGAAAGCAATTGATTTCTCATCCCAAAGCAATTCATTTTGTCCCGAATCAAACGCCTTTTTAGAGTAAAAATTCACTCCAATGAAAGAGTGCTAAAATAGTAAAATGTTTAGGAGAAATACGACCTCAATCTTTACCAAAAAGAAAATGAGCCCAATTTTATAGGAGAGAGTAAAATCTTGTTAAATATTGTAACTAGAAAACCGAACACCAACTGTAATAAAATATATAAAAATGAGAAAATTAATAAATGAGGATATTTTAAAAATAAAATATCCGCAATAATCCATTTGTTCGTTACAGCGACCCAAACCCCGCCCAACTACCCCATCTACATGGTCGCAACCAGAGCTCACAGCACTCTGCAATGGCTCTGAATCCATGGCCGCTCGTCCTCCACCTCCCGCTCCACTCTTCATCCCACTCCTCTCAGCTCTTCTGCTCCCAACTCAGATCAAAGACCGAGCTCGCTGCCTTCTCTCCGATTTCGCTCAAGCTCCCCGTCTCGCTCTCGCCGAGACCTAAGTGCTTCAGATCGGCGACCGAAGAGGACCGGTTCAGCGAGCCTGAAACCCTATCCGATGACGAAGAAGCTAGATCAAACGACGACGTTCAGGTCAACAACCAGCACCAGGCCACGACGACGACGAAGACGGAGACAAGGAGTGGTGGTTCGTTGAGGGTTACGACAAGTGATTCTCTGTCGCATGGGATTCGTGAGCCGGTCTACTATGTCCGTTGTTGCAAGCAGATTTCGTATTAGCGCTTGGGAACTGTGATTAATGAACTAATCCACATCATTAACCAATTATTTTTTATTGTTTATTTTTGTAGGTGGAAGAAGTGAAGGCTAATGGGACGATATCTACTAGAAAAATCAACAGACGTCAGCTATTGAAGTCTAGTGGTGAGTATATTTAATTAATTAATCAATTTATTATAGAAAATTCCACGTGTGGTGTTGTTGTAAATAAATTCGCTTATCCATTTAAACTGCCAGCAACGTTCATTTGGGTTTATTGCTAAAAAGTGTTGCCTTTTGGGACTTATTTCTACTGCTGTTTTCTGGGGTATGAGTGTAAATTTTCATCCTCAGGTCTTCGTCCACGTGATATCCGAAGTATTGATCCTTCATTGTTTCTGACAAATTCGGTACCTACTTTGCTGGTATGATGCCAACTTCCATGCAGTAATATTTCATGCTAGTTGTTGTAAGTTATGTTTTGTGTGTGTTCTCTCACAGAGTCACCTGTATACAGTGTTTAACAAATATATCTTCTTCCTTTTCTTTTTTGGCTGTCAATGGCATAGATAATAGCATTTAAAGTCTTTCTTTTTCTTTTTTTTTCTTTCTTTTTTTTAAATGGCTGATGTTGAAATCATATCTACGAGCTCGTTTTGATCCACCTCCTAGGTCCGTGAGCATGCTATTCTGTTAAATCTAGGCTCGTTACACGCAATTGCAATGCAAGAGCGTGTCCTGATTTTTGACTACAACAGGTGAGATTTGTCTTTGGGAGCAGAGCAAATTTTTGCATCCATTGACTTCCATGCAAATCAAAGCATAATAATATTGAAAATTTGGTTGAATGTGCAGTATAGGAGGGAAAGCATTTATAGAAGCATTGCTGCCTCGATTGAACCCCAAAAATATGAATGGAGGACCATCTATGCCATTTGAGCTTGAGGTTAGCATTCTGATCACCCTTAATATCTTCATACTGACGAGCATGGCAATTAGATGCATACATGTCTGTAAGATCTGTCTCTCACTTCATCTTTTCTAACTGTATTGAGATTGCAAGAAAACCACTTAAGATCAGTATGGAAGATGATAGTGAGGACCAGTTGGGGATCAGGATTGTCACATACCCTAGGCTTTATAAGGTTTCCAGAGTAATGTGTCTTTTGGGAACATTGAGTTATCCGTTAAGTCATGGTAAAGATTTTGAATAGAACCTGACAGCTTGTGGCATGCAGTGTGAAATTACCTATAGGAAATCAGAGATCAATTTTGCTTCAGAGAAATTACCTAGCTGGAAATCAGAGACATCAATTTTGCTTCAACCCTACAGCTAAATGACACTTCCAAACCTATACTAAGTTCTAGGAAATGCCAACACAATTTCATACTAACACAGTGAATTGCATAATATGCACATTCCATTACAAGTTACAACAATTGAAATGAAGGTAAAGAAGAAGAAAAAAAGCATTTTCCTTTTTGCTTTAGGTTTGAGTGCTTATAGCAATATCAAATTCTGAAGGTCCACAGTTGAGTTTCAAAACCTAAAATTTAAAATAGATTTTATAATGTTGCCATGTATCTCTTGTCTCAAGAAATTAGAGCGACCTATGGTTTATGGTCCTCTGCTGAAAGGGTTTACAAGAGGTAAAAGTGACCTTATCTATCATTCATATGCCTCTTCTACCAAGATGTTTGGATTAACCAAAAGAGCAGTCACTGATATTAAAAAGGACATTTGCGTTACAAATCATATTTGTACTTTCTATACCTAGGGCAATGGGTATAAGTCCTTGGGAGCTTTCTTTGCATTTCTTTTCATTGTATTCATTGTCTTGCATATCTGAGTGCATGCAGTATCAGAATGCATGAAAGAATAAAAGATCTTTGTGGTACTTTCAGGTTGTTGAAGCAGCATTACTCTCGAGAATACATCGTTTAGAACAAAGATTAATGGATGTAGAACCTCGTGTGAGTATGGAAACATAGTGAGTATTTTATTTTTTATTTTTTATTTTTGCTATGTTCTTCAAGCCCCTTTGGCAAATATCCGTCTTAGACCTTGCTTCTTCTCTCTGCACCTTGCCAACAAAATACTTTTGGGTTGACCAATCTAAACATCACATGTTCTGTTACTTTTGCTAATTGTTGTACTGGTTATATATATATATATATATATATATTTTAACTTCATGTAATTGTTTATGTTAAAACAGCTGTCTCTAGAGTGGAAATGGAAAAGAAAAAAAGATTTGTTGAAGAAATAATATAATAGGGATAAAAACCGCTGGTTCCAGTGGATATATGTTTAGTTTTCTTCAATTTGCTTCAGGTTGAAAAGTTACTTGAGGTTTTGCCGAACCGGTTAACTGCTGACATACTGGAGCAGCTTCGGATTAGCAAGCAAACCTTGGTATAGTTGTTGATTTTAATTTAAATGCTAAACCCGGTTTTACTGGCATTGACAAACGTCAGTATTAATATTATTCCTTTTCCTTTGTTAATGAAAGGTTGAATTGGGCTCACGGGCAGGGGCTCTCAGACAAATGCTGTTTGATCTATTGGAGGATCCCCATGAAATACGCCGTATATGTATTATGGGGAGAAACTGTACACTCAAGAAGGGAAGCGATGATGTTGAATGCGCTGTTCCTTTAGAGAAGCAGATTGCTGAGGGTAAATTTTAGTTGCAATTACTGTAATTTACTTTTGGAATGTATAAATTACATAAACAGTCAAAAAGTATTAAATTTATATTTGGTTTGATGTTATATACAGACGAGGAGGAAGAAATCGAGATGCTCTTGGAAAATTATCTTCAAAGGTTAGGCTTCTTCTCACCCTCCCCCAACAAAGAAAAAAAAGAAAGAAGGAGATTTCATTAGTGCTAAGATGAACTTGATTTGAAACTTGTGTTATGACGTTCATTGTGGAAGTTGACCTTAGTACTTGTTTCATTTGCAGATGTGAATCTTGTCATGGACAGGCCGAAAGGCTTCTTGATTCTGCTAAAGAAATGGAAGATTCTATAGCTGTCAATCTGAGGTCTGAATTTTTGTTGTTGTTTTTGGCTTATAGAGTTTCTTCCTGGATGTGAAGCCTTTATTGATTGTTTTGTTATGTTAGACAACCATTGAACTCCAAATGTTTATGCTTTTAGAAAATTAGGCCAACAATGTATGTCAAAATAGCATCCTACTTCACGTGCAGCCCCATCTTGCAAATGGAGAGGTAAACATACAAGCAAACGGAGAAACACATAGGTGTAGCTCCATTCCTCACCTTACAACCCCTCCCAGAGCTCCATTAGTATTAGTTAATGTGTCATATAGTCGTGAAACAGAAAATTAAAGATCTCCTTTCTGTGAATTATGTTCAATGATCCATATCAGGTGATTTTCATTTTGTCTAATACCAATTTTAACTGATTTCATCTATCAGTTCTCGGAGGCTTGAGGTTAGCAGAGTGGAATTACTACTACAGGTTGGGACGTTTTGTGTGGCGCTTGGCGCTTTGGTTGCAGGTGTGTCCTTATCTACAAATAAGTTTGGTTATTTATTTTGTAAATTCTGTTCCAATGTGTATGGGAATCTATTAGTGTTCATAATCTTACCCTGTTGCACATCATCTCACTACCTAGAAACGTGCAATGTGTTTTGATGTCCATGATAAGCCTTTTGATTTCCTTCTAATTGCAGGTATATTTGGCATGAATTTGAGGTCCTACCTTGAAGAACATGTGGTACGTTAGTTTTTGAAGTTAACTTAATGCGACTCTCGTCCCATTTTCACCGGGGTGATTGCAACGTGACCATTACTTATTGCTTAACTTGGTGCAGTTTGCATTTTGGCTTACAACAGCAGGGATAATTGTTGGAGCTGTTGTGGGATTTGTCCTCATGTATTCCTATCTCAGGACAAGGAAAATATTGTAACTAGTAGAAAGTGATTCAAGTATAGGTAGAAGTTAGCCCTTAATCTTCTTTTTGGTTTTCCCTTATCAAACTTGGTTTGCAATGTTACCAATATGGTGTCCGGCTTGTAGGGTCAACGACTTACAAGTTTTCAGTTCAGGGATTTGATTCTGATTTCCTTTGTTACAAAATTAAGTCCATGATATTCAAGTGCTTTTCTTTTATGAGATCTGGAAACTTAATAGCATCTTATCAAATTTATAGGACATTTCAGAGGCCAAGAACTTTCAGCTGCCAATGCCTTGATATGATTACCCAGTCCTTTATGCAGCAGTACTATTTCCACATTATTTATGGGCTCCATGAACTTGTACTCAGTTTCCCCTACAAGATCACAGCACCGCAGCTGTCGACACGTGCGAATCAATGAGTGCTGAATGCCGAATGCTGGATGGATCCGGAGCTGGTCTTATTGCGTATGCAACAAATGTTTGTGGGGGTTGTATTTTTTTTGCCAATCTGAATGCAAGGTTGTATTATTTAACTGCCTCTACATTTCAGGAGTAGAATTAATTTCATCCTTATAATAAAATTTTGCTCTTTGGTAAGGGTGGTACTAATTTTATTTGCTCTCTCTAACAGACTTATCCATCAACTAATCCTTTAAACGGATTGTAATCCCAGGTGCTCAGCCCATACACTCAATGGCGGATCCATGAATTTTTATAGGGGTAGGGTTTTTTTTTTATTTTAAATTTATTTATAGAGGAGGTATATTACAAGCCTTTTTTCTCTTGAAACAAAAATATAAATAAAATTTTATAAATTAAACAAAGCCACAATACGAGCAAATATAACACAAAGAAGTACAAAATATAAATAAATACCAACAATCTAAAAAAAAACGTTCTCGTACAAAACCATCCTTATCAACAAATCTTAAAACAATGGTCATTTGCTCTCTATTAGATGCATCTTTTGCTTCATCAACAAGAATGCAATAAGTTGATTCCCTAAAAATACTAGACACCAAAAATCATATATGCTAATTAATAATTCAAGTTGCAAAAATAAAACATGTATCAACAATCTCCAAAAGTTTTCAATCAACCCCTAAATCATAAAAACTTAACAACAACAATTAAAATTGGAAATTGAATATATATATATATATATATTTTAAAGAGAAAAACTTACCAAGATTGAAGTACCCACTCAAGATAGGTTGGTACAATTTTTTAGAGGAGGAGAACTATTTCCTCTAGGCTCTCAAGATTCAAATATGGCATTTTGGGTGGCTAGAAGAAATTTTTTTTATGTTTGCTCTGTGTGGGTGTAGCCCAATATCAGTACGATTAGAATAGCTCAAGTTGGTAGAGCCGTAGTGTGAGTTTTGCTTCTAATCAAATTTATATAGGTTTAGATTGGATTGACGTTTATTATTTCCTATATGCTTCAAGAGTGGGCTTATTTTAAATAGAGGACTGAGCTATTATTTACTTTACTTAGATTGAGCTATTATTAATTTATTTAAAAAAAGAAAAACAATGCATATGTGGGCTATATTTATTTGGTGCAATGGGCTAATATTTATTTGAGTAGAAATAAACCTATAATAATAAGACCATGTTTAATATTTCATAAATGTTCCCCTAGGCTGGAGCCCACTCCAGCTTAGCCTTAGATCCGCCTTTGCATACACTTGTCACGGGCGTGGCAAACAAATCTGGGAATGAACCCTATAATTTTAATTTGTACCTTTTGAAGTTGGATAAAATACAAATAAAATTTAAATTAAGGGTATAGAGAAGTTGTTATGAGGGGAAAAAAACATGTTATAAAAAAAAGGAAATAAAATTAGATCTAAGAAAAAGAACAAAAGAACTTTGAGCATGATTTAGTTTTTCCCTTTTGGGTTGTTTTTCCCTTTCAGATTGTTTCCCCGTGTTTGGGTTGTTGCTTTTACAATCATGTTGAGATTCATGTCTTGTACACGTCTTTGATGCATTGCTCAAGTTTAATAATGAATAAATATGAGAGAATTTGTAAGAGCGAAGGTGTGCTTCAGAGATGTATTTAGAAATTTGAGCATGCTTGATAAAGATTTTTCTCAAAAGCTAGAGCAGATAACTGGTAAGTAATCATTAATCAAACTCACATTCCCGTATCACAAAATAAATATCAAAATGAAATGTGGAAAGCCCATAAAGCTCCCTCCACACCAAAAAAAGAACAAAAACAAAAGCTAAACTCTATGCTAAAAGAACATAACCGGAAAAAAAAAAAGCATGAAACATGGAATAGAAACACCTGCAACCGGTCATGCCTGTTGTGAATCCTGTGATGAATTTAGTGCACGTTTGGATTCTATAACAGGTTTGGAAGATTCATTAATGGCCATATTACCCATTCCGACCTCAATTGCTTCCCTCTCATCCTTCTCCCTTTTCTCAGAAATACTCCCATTGGAGGCGTGAGGTTCCATACCAGCCACGGAAGGCTCAAGGAGTCGAGGGCCTGCACTGATCCATGGATGAGTGAGGCATTGCGCAGCTGTTGGCCTCTTTTCAGGGACAAAATCAAGTATGGGAACAAGGAACTCAGTCATGTCATTTGCATCTTGCTCGCTGAATGAGTACTTCTCCATTAGCACCTTATTTAGAGGCCAAAAACGCAATCGACGGATATGCTTCAAATCCCCATATCGGTTAAAGAAGTCCCGCGAATAGCGACCACCTAATGCAGTCTGCAAAGAATATATTTATGAATACTATTATTTGACCAGATTTATTGTCAAACAGTGAAAATTCTCACATTCTTGATTCCGTAAAATGGCAGTGCAAAATTGAAAAGTAAGTATCAAGTTCTTACCTTGCGGGGAATTGTTCCAAGAAGTTCCATCATCAGTGCCAGGTGATCCTGCAAAGTAAGATTTAAAAGCCAATATGGAAATTTAATTACAATATTTACAAAGAATAAAATATATTAGATAGCTATTTTTTTCAAAATAATCATAAACTCGTTCAAAATTCCAAAAGCGCAGTCTACTCCCTTCACTCAAGGATCATTCAGGACAAGGCCCTATCCAATTAATATTGATATAACTCATATCCGAGCAAATTCAGTCCGTTTGATGAATTTTATTAGTTAGATCGTGCTGATGATGTCACAAAAAGAAATATACAATTTGTAACTACAATGGCCCTTTCACAAGTATTAAGAGCATCAGATCACATTTTCCCTTCTTCTTTTTTTGGGGTGGGGGAGGGGGGCGGTTACAAATGCAACAATGATAACAGAATCATAGAACATAGAAAATGCCTCACCATAAGGTATAATTTTTAATATTTAAATGGGCTGTTTGGATTCCATAATAGAACATGTGAGAGCCTATCTAGGTGGCTATCTATAAATTGATAAAAGGTATATTTTGGTGAATTCTCTGTATCTGTCAAAATACAAGATCTGGATAATGAGGCAGTGTGGTGCTGCAGAATGGTCATAGCTTTTAAGAATCTTAAAAAAAAATATTGTAACAATTCCCAAGGGAGAAATCAAGAATATGCACATACCTCATCCCTATCATAATTGTCACCACTGTGTGGATCGAAAAGAACGTCCCCAGTGGCTAGCTCAAAGCAAACACAAGCAAAGGACCATAAATCTGCTGGAGTGGAGTATTTAGCTCCAAGTATAACTTCCGGGCATCTGTACTGCCTTGTTTGAATATCACTTGTAAACTGCTTATATGTCCAACATGCATTTCCAAAATCAACCAATTTGCATTTAAGGTCAACAGCTGCGAACAGCTTCTGCCTTGCAGCACGGCCGGCTTTTTCTTGTTCCGTATTTCCTTGCTGAGTTTCTTCTGTTTCTTCACCCTTTATTGATACGTTTCCAACTACAGAATCCTTCACTTGTTCTTCAAGAGAATCGCCATTTGATTTCACTTCATTAATGGAATCTTCTGAGCCAACTATCGTGGAATCTGCCTCATTGTCCTCCAAAGTTTCCATCCCAGCACAACCATGAGCTGCCTTCTTAGCCTTTTTCCGGATCTTCTTTTTCTGATTCTTTGTGAGATCTCCGTTTAACTTTTTAATGTCTTTCGCAGCGCCAGAAACAGACGCAGTTTTATCCTTACCGGTTGGAAGGATGAGAGGAGCACCTGATTTCCTGGGATCTTTAGATGGATCGATCATCGACAAAAGCAAGACATTCTCTGGCTTCAAATCAGTGTGTATCATTGAAAGTTGACGATGCAAGTAATCCAAACCCACTAACATATGGAAACAAATTTCTTTAACCATGTGCACTGGAGCTCCTCGGTAATCATTATACTTAATAAGGGTCAAAAGGTTATCCCCAAGGTACTCAAAAACCATACAGACATGCTGCCCATTTGGGCCTGAATGCTTGAAGTGATCCAAAAGCTTCACAACACACTTCTTGTCACTAGGGTCTCCCTCTGCAATTTGTTTGAGAATCTTTATTTCGTCCATTGCAGCTTCAGTGTAATAACGAGCACTCTTTTGAATCTTCAAAGCTACATAACGCTACAAACAATGAATTTCTCATGTTGTCAAAGATTTGAACAATGAAACTGTAGGTAAGTTCTCATTTAGTTTTCATACATGACAAGACACAGAATCTTAATTTAAATGCTAGGTAAAACAATTCAGATAAAGAAACTAGTTCAAATTACTAAGAGCTACTAGTGCAATGAATAAAAAAAATTCATTGCTTTATTCCGGAAACGAGACAAATAATACAAAGTTGAGGACTTGCGTCATACCCAAGATTTGTTTTTTATTTTACTCTTCTCTTGAATTTTCATAGTGCACAGACATTTTCTTACTATTCTTTTCTTTTCGTTTCGTCAAACTGTTTTGTATTGATTTATTGCATTTATTCAAAAATATCTACCTCTCTTTTAATTTCCTAAACCCAGCTCCACCAAAGAACCAAAAAAGAAGAAGAAATATACGTTCCACAACCTTTCCTCTCAGTTCCTCTACTCTTTTATTTTCCCTCAGTTTCTCACTAACCAAACAACTAGTTTCACATCAAAACACAGATAACATACCGAGCTCCGAGTGTCCCAAGCAAGCCAGACAGTGGAGAAGTGACCCCAGCCCAGCTTACTCTGCACCACATAGCAGCCATTCTTGAACGAGTCCCCAATAGAGACCGCATGGTACCCTCCTTTCTTGTAGTCCTCAGTGCCCTCGTCCTCCGATGAGTAATCGCTGAGCTCGTCCCGATCCCTGGCATCCGCCATTGAAATTCAGAATTGGGTTCGATTGGGTTTTTGGGGTTAAATGTCACTGAGAAACCCTAGTGAGGTTTGTCTGGGCAAGAAGCTGGAATTAGCGTTGAGAATGAAACTGTTGGGACAAAGACAAAAGACCTAGGATCTTTTCTGTTGGAGGACTTGAGTGGGGTGCAAGACCCAGAAGCGTAAGATTGTACTTTACCCTGGCTTAGGCCCTGTGTGGGATTTTTTTTTTTCTTTCAAAAATCTACTTTATTTTAAAGTTGAATAATTTAAAGTAATTGGTAAACATAAAATATTATGATTATTTTAAAACAATGGCCTTTTGACAGCAGCTTTTAAAGCAAACTTTATGCTGCTTTTCAAAACTGCTTTCAAAAGAAGTAGAGATAAGCCTTTAATGAAAAATTTTAATTCTCAATATACCATAATTCAATTTTTTTTAAAATGACACCACCTCTACTTTCACATTCAACTCCACTACATTCATCGCCTCCACGGCCACCACCACATCCTCTCATACCGCCACCACAACCACCCCCTCCTCCACTACCTCCACCACCACCACCACCATGTTGCCACTGCCACCACCATGTCCACCCACATAACTGCCATCCCCACCAACTCCACCTTAATCGCCACCACCACCTTCACCTCCATCTCTTTCACCACCACCATGTCCACCTACATGACTGCCATCCCCACCAACTCCACCTTAATCACCACCACAACCTTCACCTCCATCTCTTTCACCACCACCTCCACTCCACCACCACCACCACTACCACCACTACCACCACATGATTAGCGCATAACACTTCAACATCATGTCTATTTTAGTCATTTTTCACAGTTACAACAGTTTTATATTAAAATTTACCAACAATTTTGACACTGTTTTTTTGTACTAACAGTACTTTAAAAACACCAAACATAGATCTACTTTACTTTGCAGCTAATTATTTTCAAACTACCACCACCTCCACAACCAACAACACCACCACCACCATGCTGCCACCGCCACCGCCACCACCACGTCCACCTACATAACTGTCATCCCCACCAACTCCACCTTAATCGCCACCACAACCTTCACCTCCATCTCTTTCACCACCACCACGTCCACCTACATAACTGCCATTCCCACCAACTCCACCTTAATCACCACCACAACCTTCGCCTCCATCTCTTTCACCACCACCTCAACTCCACTACATTCATCGCCTCCACGGCCACCACCACATCCTCTCATACCGCCACCACAACCACCCCCTCCTCCACTACCTCCACCACCACCACCACCATGTTGCCACTGCCACCACCATGTCCACCCACATAACTGCCATCCCCACCAACTCCACCTTAATCGCCACCACCACCTTCACCTCCATCTCTTTCACCACCACCATGTCCACCTACATGACTGCCATCCCCACCAACTCCACCTTAATCACCACCACAACCTTCACCTCCATCTCTTTCACCACCACCTCCACTCCACCACCACCACCACTACCACCACTACCACCACATGATTAGCGCATAACACTTCAACATCATGTCTATTTTAGTCATTTTTCACAGTTACAACAGTTTTATATTAAAATTTACCAACAATTTTGACACTGTTTTTTTGTACTAACAGTACTTTAAAAACACCAAACATAGATCTACTTTACTTTGCAGCTAATTATTTTCAAACCACAGCAGAAACAACTTTTTTAAAAAGTGACAGCAATCTCAAACTGAACCTTAGCCTGATACAACCAAAAAAAGCAACCAAAAAACAAAAAAAACATTACAAAAGAAGTTGATACATCTAAACCAAACTAAATCAAACCGAACACACCTGAACTATTATTTATTTATTTTTAAAGTGTCCATTTACCTATGAATTATATAGAAATATTTAAACCTCGTGCCATTTTCCTTTTATTCCTCACCAAAAATAAAGTTGTAACAATATAGCGTAAAGAGATTCTCAAAAGTCAATAACGTGACTTTATTTTACAGTATCTGAAGTGAAATTACTAGGAGTCTAATGGTGGAATAAATTGATCATTTTTGCATAATTCAAAGAAGAAATTGGATGGGAAAAAAAAAGTCAAGTAAATTCATTATGGATACAAATAAAAAGAGAAAGCGGTAAATTACCCGAAATTTTTTCTTCCAAAAAAGAAATTATATCATTGCAAGGGGCTTGTAATAAGTAGGTAGTGACCGCTATTGTGTTTCAAATCAATCCCCCCTCCCTCATCACTTGCATCAACAAACAAATAATAATAATATCCCTTGATTAAGGAATTCCCTCTTAGTTAGGGGAATGACATACCAATTACTCCATAGGTTCTCAATCATAGAAATTGGCAATAACTATTAAGATTGTGTTCATATATAACGTACGGGGTTTCCCACAATTTAGTTCCCTCCCAAAATAAAATTCAATCTAACCAATTACCAACATTGTCCTTCGCTTCAAATGCTTAGATAGTAGAAATATTTTCTGTCACACACACATACTAAACCTTTTGCAGCCTTCTAGAAATGAGAAAGCTGTGCAATATTTCCTAGTACCATTCGTAAAATTAAGGACTGGAAATTTTGTGTAAGAGCATGCCATGTGCATTTGGAAATGAATTCTTCTGTATTTTCTAAAATAATATTAATAATACTCGAAGTGGAGACTTTTAGGGAAAAAAATCACAACAAAACGTTTTGATCTCGAAAACACACAACACTATAGAAGGTTATTTAAGTCATGCTTTTGTACCCTTGGGTAAGAAATCATTAGTTTGCATGATATATTACAACAAAATAAGTTTTGTGATCGATGGAATTGATATATAAGAGTGAAATAGAATTTTTATATGTATTAGGTGAAATAACAATTTGGGTTTTTACATACTTCTTGATTTGAATATTTTAAATTTTATACTGATATTTTTTATGCCAAATTTTATAAGATATTGGAGTGAACTAAATATACGTTTGGCAAACAAAATAGAATATGAGAGATCTCCACAAGCTCAACTCTTTAACAAGCTTTACCTTGATGCATACATGTCAATTCTGTAATATCATGAACTTTGTGATTAAATGGACAAAATGTATTGTAAAGTCATTGGGCAAAGGGTGGATTTACAGTGGGCCAATATTGCTAAGATTGTGCAATCTAATCTCGAAAAAAGTATCGTTCCAAACTTTTTACTCTCCACCAACACAAGCCGCACCTCCTCTCTCAAACCTTCAGGCTCTGTTTGGTGTGCTGGACTGAATAGGATTTTTTCATTTAAAATGGACATGGGTCCTGGGCATTGTTTGATGAGCTTAAAATGCATTATGGACTGGATGTAGTTATTGGACACCAGTCCATAATAACACCAGCTCTAGAACCCATCGCTAGACGTGGGTTTCGAAGCCAACCATGCCTCCTCATTCTTTGATTCGCGAGAACTTGCTCTGGCTTTTTTTTTGCTGCTTTATATTCTCATATCTCTTCTCCAATCTCTCTCTCTCTCTCTTCCGCTCTCCGCATCTTCTACTCGGTCCAACAAAACTTGAGATTTGATTTAAAGGAGGCATTGTTCTTGAGACCTTATGAGGGAGCCTTGCAATTCTTGCTTGTTTGGGCTCTTGGGTGTTTGGTTGCGAAGATGGAGAGTGGAAAGCCGATATGAGATCACAGCCTTGGTGTGAACATTTTCAAGCTCTTGATGAGAATCAGAAGAGATAAGTTGGAGCAAATTCTAGAGGACTTGTGTAAAGAAGGAAAAGATTTTCTGGGGAAAAGCTCTTTTGGTGGATCACCATCTCCAAGAGGTAATTTTGATTTCCCAGATTGGGTTTCAATGGCAGGTTATGAAATTTCACCAAGATTTGGGGATTTTTTTTGGAAAGAATGATTTGAATTATGGGTCTGATTGGTCATCGAGACAAAGTTCTGTTCCGGTGGGGGATTAGTTGCGGCAATTGGTCACGGAGGAGACACCCAATTGATCTTTCTTTGGAGTTTGGGTCATAGTCCTGTGATTCATAGATTTTTTTAGAATTGTATTCATTATTATAATTTTTTTAAATTTGCTATTTTTGTTCCAGTCTTTCAATCTTAATAGGGCTCGTCAATGGGCCGGGTCAGGTTAGCTTGGCTCAAATTTAATTGGCTTGGGCCGGGCCGGGACCGATTTTAAAGAGGAGAGAGAAAATACCGGGCCGGGCCCCTTTTTTTAGAAAATTCAAAGCCCAAGCCCAACCTATGGGCTGGGCTTGAGAAAGCCCATCGAGTCGGGCCGGGGCTAAACGAGCCTACTTCATTCGAAAAAAATCATGTACTTAATCATAAGGGCATTGTAGTCCAAATTTGAGATTAAACTCACTTAATTCCAATATTTTCACATCAAACCAAATTCATAAAATACCCAATAAAGTCACACAACTTAATAAGATTTTTCACAAAAATAATAAAACCAAGTATTATTTTTGAGGTTATTACATAAATAGACCGTAATACGTTTTAAGAAATAATTTAAGAAAATAACAAGTATCAAAAAGATATTGTTTTTAAAGGATGGTATAAATAAATATGTAAATGTTTGGTGATGTGTTCAAGAAAAGCATGATTATATTTGGTGGTACGATTATGTTTCATGATATGATTATATTTGGTGATATGATATGTTGTTCATCTTATTTATATATATAATTGTTGTATTAATAATTGACACAAATTAATGTGCTAATCATCCAATTATAAACTATGAATGAGTAAAGAAAAGTAAATGAAGTGAAACAAATTATATATGGGATTTAAGTGATATAATCATAAACCTAAACTCTTATTTATACATAATTATATATGTATGCGGACCTAATGGGCCGGGCTTTGTGGGCCTTTTGTGGGCAGGTTGGGTCGGACATTCTTGGGCTTAATCGGGTCGGGGCGGGCTTCAGACACCCAAGCCCAAGCCTAGCCCGGCCCAAGGCGGGCTGGGCTATCTCAAAACCCATAACAGGCCGGGCCGGGCTTTTTTAAGAATGGGCCGGGCGGGCCCCCATTGGCCCATGAGCCCGCGGGCCAAATGATGAGGCCTTAATCTCAACTTGGTGTTTATTGCACCAAACAACTACTTAAAATTCAATCATATCCCAACCAATCCAATCTAATATATCCAGTCCAGTCTAGTCTACTCTAGCCTACCAAACGAGGCCTTAGAGCCTTTCAATGCCATCTAGGGGGAAGGTGGTCACTACCTCCCCTTGATACTCCTTTCATTTTCATATTCCACTTCAACCTAACTCTTTTATCATCCCTCATTTTTATTTTTATTTTCCAAGATTCCTTTAAATTCCTCCTTCCAGATATGGCTCCTTCAAGGTTTATCTCCCTCTTGGATCTATCGACCCCCATTGGATGCATCGACTAATCCCAAACATGATTTTTCGTGTCCTCTTTGGAAGATGTGTAGAGCTCTTGCTCGGGTGCTTGCACAACCTCCTCTCATTCTTAGGTTGTTACCACCTCCTTCCATGAATAGGATGTCGGTTTCTTTGGCTTTGGGAAGTATTTTCCTAGTTTGTTCTTGGATTGGCTGATGTTTCCTTCATAGTGTTTTGGTGGTTTAGTTTTTGAAGGAGTTAATGAGTCTTTGATGGCCGGTTTATGTATAGCGAGGGATTAGCAAATTTGTGATTTTTGTATTTGTTTTGTGTGTTTGCAGTTCTTTCCCTCATCATTAATCATAGTGGCGATGTCCCGATCTTAATGGAGGCAGCAACAACATTGCTTGGTGTTTGATGGTGTTTATACTTTTGGTTGGGTTTCACTTTATGCCAGTTTTGGCTCTGACTTTATGTCAGTTTTGGGCTCTGACTTTATGCCAATTGTAGGCTTTATGTCTATTTGAGTTTTATTTTTAGTGGGCTTTTACTGTTGCATTTGTTTGGACTTTATTTATTTATTTTATTATTATTATTTTTTATAGTTTCACTATGATGTAATTGGCATTGGCTTTCTATTAATGAAACTTGATTCTGACCACGCAAAAAACCTCCAGGTCAACATTGTCATTTAGAGAAATTTTTTTATGACATCAACAATTTTTAGGTGGGAAATGAAATAAAGGGGTTTTGTGAAACCTCATGGAATTCTATAAAATAAATAAATAAATAATATCATTGTGTGTTAGTGTAATTTCCTAAACTTCAATGGGTTTTATGAAAATACCAAAAATTTAGTGTAAATAAATTTTTTGTTTCCTCAATTCAAATGAAGATATCATATTGCGTTGTTGAGAGAGGGACAAATGACTTTTAAAGAGTGCTGCTATTTCCACCCCCTTGTCCTTTTTTCCTACCCACCTTATCTTTAAACTTTTAAAGACAAATTTAACCCTATTGTAAAATGACTTAAAAGGACTTAAGGAAAAAGAAAGAGGAAAAAAAAATGCAGACTTCTCAGTTTTCAAGTAACCCTATCATTTGACAGAGAGAAAAAAAAACACAAGAATACGACTCCCTGGTCATGAGAAGGTGAAGAAGGCTTTTTAGTGCTCAGAACTCAATTCTCAAATAATTTTCTTCTCTTTTCTATTGATTCAATCAAATTGTTCATGAAGAAGAAAACAACAGAATGGATGTTGAAGAGCATGATTTTGGCGAAAAGGTAAGTTAATCCTATTTGAACAGAATTTTAAGATCTTTAGGATTACTTAAAGCATTGGGAGATGAGTATTTCTTAGACTCTGATTTTTTATATTAAACAAATTAAAAATCTGAAAACTTAGGGATGAATAAACAATTCGATGATTTGGTGAAGAAGGCTTTGGGGGTTAATAAGACGTTGGTGGGGGATATTTTGCATGAAGATGTAATGAGCAAGTTTTGGTTTCAAGGGCTAGTCAGCAACCTCTTTGCCCACCTTCCAAACTTTTTGGTATGCTAACCAGAAAGTTTGCAAGACAATCAAACACAATTTTATTACGGTTTTGAATCATATTTCAGGAAAATAGGTTGAACTAATATTTGAGAAAGTGGGAGACTTACAGCTATTGAGGAGCGTGAGCCAAAGCAGATTGGAAGGTGGGCAAAGAGGTTGCTGGGTATGTTTAAAAATTGGGGAGCGTGAGCCAACTTTTGGTTTCAAGGGCTGGTCATCTTTTGCATGCTGAGCAGCCTTTGTCATTAAATTTCGTGATATTTTACTGCTGTATTACTACGATTTAGGCCCTGTTCTAGGGAGATATATTCTTACTATATTGTTTATTGTTTTCTTTTTTCAGGGAGATGAATATTCAGGTTGTAGTAACGTGGACTTTGAACAAATAGTGGATTGTACTAGTGAATTTACCACGAATGAGATTAGTGTAAACACAAGAATTCAAATTTTGGTGTCTACAGTTAGGTTTGATTGAAATAAGTTATTTTTTTTCCTTACACTCTTGTAAATTTATGTATAATGTGAAATTGGTGATATGCAGATATTTAACAATAGAGAAGAATTAATACGATGGGCTCGTGAAGTTGGAAGGGCGAATGATTTTGTTATTGTGACCTTAAGATCTGATCAAGGTGGAAAAGGAAATAAGAAGCCTAGAGTTACTTTGGGTTGTGAGAGGTATGGAGAATATAGAAAGCGAATTCCTAAAAAAGATATAAAGGATGAGGATAGAAGACATGCAGGATATAAAAAGTGTGGATGCCCTTTTCAATTAAAGGGTAAAAGGCTAGAAACAGATGATCATTGGATGCTAATAGTGGTTACTGGAGTGCATAATCATATAGCAGCTGAGCATTTGGAGGGTCATTCATTTGCTGGTAGATTATCGTTTGAGGAGACATCATTGTTACTTGATATATCAAAAAGTTTGGTGTGACCAAAGGTAATTTTGACTATGCTAAAGCGAAGAGTTTATCATAATTCATCCACACTTAGAACGATATATAATGCACGTCAACGTTGCAGGCTATTGGAGAAAGCTGGAAGATCCCAAATGCAACAATTGATGAGTAAGTTATCTGTGCATAATTACATTGAGTGGCATAGGAGTTGCCCAAAGACAAATATTATTTTGGACTTGTTTTGGACACACCCTACTTGTTTGGACTTGTTACGTGCATTTCCAAGTATTTTGATAATGGATTGTACCTATAAGACCAATAGGTATCGCATGCCATTGTTAGAAATTGTTGGAGTTACGTCTACCAATATGACATTTTGTGTTGGCTTCATCTATCTTTCTTCGGAACGAGAAGATAATTATGTATGGGCCTTAAGTGTACTACGGAGATTGATGGATGAAATAGCTATGCCCGATGTTATTGTCACAGATAGAGAATTGGCTTTAATGAAAGCCATTGACGCAGTGTTTGGTACAACTAAGCATCTGTTATGTAAATGACATATTAATAAGAATGTGCTAGCCAAATGCAAAGTTGAATGTGAAAGTAAGGATGATTGTGATGGGTTTTTGGTTAAATGGAATTCAATGGTTGCATCACCAATTGAAGTCGATTTCAAAAAGGAGGCAAGAGAACTACTCAGTGAGTTTAGTAAGTATCCATATTTACTTAAATATGTAATAGATACTTCGTTGAACCCATATAAGGATAGGTTTGTTGCTGCATGGATAGATAAATGCATGCATTTTGGGAATACAACTTCAAATAGGTAATGCCAATTATATTTATTAATTTATTTGATTTATTTGATTTATAAATGCAAAAGTGACAAATAATCTTTGATTTTTACTTTATTTGATTTATAGATTTCAATTTTTTTACTTTATTTGAATCATATTACTATATATACAAATTGTTTTAATATTACTATACTTTTACTTCAACAGGGCTGAAATTTCACATGCAAGATTAAAAAGACAACTTGGAACAAGCCAAGGAACATTTGCCACAACATGGGAAAATATACACGCTTCACTTGAGTTGCAACACACTGAAATTAAGGTTTCGTTCGAGGAAAGTTTGATAGTGGTGCATCATGATTTTAGAAGTTCAGATTTTGAGGAACTTCGTGGTTTTGTCTCAAGTAGTGCACTATATATGGTACTCGAGGAGACCAAGCTAGCTAACAATTATGGAATTGACTCTGAGGTGTGTGGCTGTCTGTTACGACTAACTCATGTGTTACCATGTGCTCATGAGATTGTAAAGTACAAGAAAGACGGTAAACCTATTCCACTTGAGTGCATTGATCCTCATTGGAGGCAACTTGACATGACATGTGCACTTAAAAGAAAAACTTCGGAGTGTTCCTATGATGCAGAGATGAAGTTATTTCATAGGCGTTGGATGAAGTCTGATGCAACTACACAAATGATTCTTAGAAGGAAACTTATGGAATTAGTAGCACCACAAACTACTTTACTTGTGAAACCATTTGTGAATACCAAGACTCGAGGTAGGCCAGGTAAGAAGATGGATAAATCTACTCGTCGTGATCCATCCTTATTTGAGGTTGTAGATTCACCTAGGTTGGATGGATGTAGTCTAAGTGGTATTCCTCCTAAAGTGAGCGCAAAACAAAAGAGGCAACCGAAGGAGAGGGTGGGTATAATATATTTATATATTTATCATAGCAAGATGATATAATTTGCACGTATATACTAATTTTATAACTAACTATATACACCCCGCTACATAAGCCAGTTGAGTTTGTTGATGCATTTCCACAAGCATTAAGGTCGTGCATCCATCATGTAAAAGATGTGGCAACAGATGGACATTGTGGGTACAGAGCTATTGCAGCATTATTAGGTTATGGTGAGGACGGATGGGTACAAGTAAGAAGTGATTTATTGAATGAGCTTGAATCTTATTCAGTTCACTATTCAGCACTTTATGGGTATGAAAATAGGGTCTATGAGCTAAAACACTCATTGGCGTACTTTGGACCTGATGCAAATTTTGATCGGTGGATGACTATGCCTGACATGGGCCATATTATTGCATCATGTTATGATGTTGTACTTGTGCACCTATCTAACGTACAATGTCTAACGTTCTTACCTCTTAGATCAAGACCATTGCCACTATCAGACCGTAGAGAGATTGCTATCAGATTCATCAATCGTCATTTTGTGCATGTATTTTATAATCTGAATATAAGTTGTTTATTTTATAAATATGTCCTTATCTATATATATATTTACACCTTTGTGCAGGTATTCTTGAAGCCAAGTCATCCAATTCCCCATATAGCAACAAACTGGGACAGATACCGAGAACCATGGACTACAGAATGGGCCACCCCATACATCACTCGCATACAACAATTCATATATATTACAAGGTCTACTGTTATAACTAGAGAAACAATTGCATATGATGATGATTGAACTTGGTCTTTTAACAAATTCAAGGGTGAGACATGTGAATTGGGCGAGTACTGTTGTTTTTCCCTTATCTGTTTGGCTTTGTACTTTTTGACATTCCCATGTCTTAAGAATGGGCGTTTTATATTTTTTTATTGCAAAGTTCAATAGATTTCTGGTCCTTGGATAACTCTGGAGAAAAAGTTTATTTACAATAGTAGAAAGCTAAGAGCATAAATGTGATTATATTCACAGAATCCATATTTACAAAAATTAAAATTAAAATTACAACAAAAACTGTTTTAGTTCAGTAAACATGGGAGACAGAGACAAAGATGGAGTGTGAGAGATGGAAAATAAGATAGAGCAAAAATGAGAGAGAGATGCGTGGGCCGTCAGAGAGAGAGAAGACATAAGCAGAGAGCATTACTCTATTATATCAATAGAGTAATGCTATACTTACCACATTATTATCCCACATTTCTATACTACATGATTTGACATATCCATATCATATGCCACATCAATTAAATGAATGGAAGTGTATTTTAATACATGATGTGGTATATACACATCAGCTGCCACATCATGTGGTATAAAATTGTGGTATAAAAAATGTAGTAAGACTAGTATTATTCATATCAATATAAAATAGGATAGGGAGGGTTTTGAACAGAACCCCTCCAGCCACTAAGTTTCGGCCGCACATATATACATATATTCATTTATAATCTAAACCATCAGTTCCAAGCTTTGAGACCCTCAGCCCAATTTGCGATATTTCAAGTACCTCCAGCCGCAATTCTCCAAGGCTCCAACACTTCCATATCCTGACCGCCAAAACTATTGGATGCCAGCCCAACAAATTCATTCACAACAAACACTCAATACCAGGTCGGGATCTTTAATAAACCTGCCCGTGAACACCTCCAATCTTGACCGTGCACAGCAGAAAAATCCGGCCGCAATCCCAACACTAGCCCAGCCGCAATTCTTGCTCACAAAAACAGCTTGCGCATCTCTTAGGCATCTCTAGTCGCCCCGTATTTCGACCGCCAAAATTCCAAGACCCCAGCCGTGATCTTCAACAATCCCAGCTGAGATTCCAGCTCCATTCGATCTGCCCGGCCGTTCTAATCTAGCATGCCCAGGCCGCATTTTCGAAAGCTCAGGGACTCCGAAACCCAGCTGCCCAGTTTCACTCGTGCCTAGTTAATTCTCTTGCTCGGCCAATTCTTGTGCCCGGGTTAGGTGGATTTCTACCACCCCTAAACACATACAAATCACATCGTATTTGTTTAGGGGTGGTAGAAATCCACCTAACCCGGGCACGAGAATTGGTCGGGCACAAGAAGAATAGCGGCTGGGCTAGGAATGGAGAGGGCACGACAAAATGAAGTAGGGCTCTGGCGAGATTTCTAGTGGCCGAGAATTCATAGCGGCCGAAGTACTTTCTCAAAAAGGTGGTCGAGGTCTTTTCCTCAAAGGCCATGGTGCCTTCTCAAAAATGCGGCCGATGTGTTTTCTTCAAAGGCCATGGTGCCCTCTCAAAAATGCGGCTGATGTGTTTTCTTCAAAGACCGTGGTGCCTTCTTAAAAATATGATCAGGCACTTCCCTTTGCAAAAGTGGTCGGGCATATCATTGCAAAAGTAATAGGGCATATCTTTACAAAAGTGGCCGAATGCTTCATTCTCCAAAAGTTGGCCGGCCACTCCTTAAATACCTTGGTCGGCCACTCCTATAACAAAAAGCTGGGTTGGAGCGAATTTTCTCGTTGCTTAACGTGGCGCCCTCCTTTCAACACTTGGGCAAGCAAAGTCGAGCAAAGGGAGTTGAACTTCGGTGAGAGGTATGTCCATCGAGTGCCCAATATTCGAATATTTGAGAACTCAAATATAGTCCAATGTAGGGCCAAGCCCATCATCCAAATATTTGGAGTTCCCATACCACCTATCTTGGCGGATGGTCGACGGATGGTAAGCCAACTCTAGAATTTTAAAAACCTAAGGGGCACAAGGTTCCACCAAATGTCAAGATGAAATCTCGGAAGTCAAGGCCCAAGCCACGGATTTACGCCCAAGATTTTCGGAGGTCAGTGTGCATGTAATGGAGGCCTCACAAGGAAAACAAATCAAGGAGATTGATGATAGTTCATAATATTCCAAAACAAGAGAGAATCAAGCAATCAGAATATTTCAACCAATGTAATCCCACGGATTTAAGGGGCCTCAAAAGGAAAGATTTTTAAAAGAGTTGACATTTGGCCATTCATGGCCAGCCCATGGGCTGACGGAAGCCCTATATAAACCTCCCCAGACGAAGACAGAACACAGACGACATTAGACAGACAAACCTATTTTTCGTCTCGCACTTTTCTTTTCCTAGACTTAGGATTTTACTTTTCATGCACCTAGTGTAGCGAGTTCTTCATTTTCTTAATGTAAGTTTAAATTATCGTTCAATTTATATTTTCTTGTCATTTAAATTCAAGTTTATTTCAATTGCTTTATTTTTCATTGTTATCGCACTTCAATTAAGTTTAATTTCAAGTTCATTTTACTTTATCGTTCTTATCGCTTTCATTTCGTTCTTGCTTTATTTACCGCTTTGATTTATTTTGTCGTACTTTAATTCTCGTCTTTACGTTATTTATCTTTCGCACTTTACTTTACGCATTTGTCTTTAGATTATATTTAAATTCACGTATCTTTTACTTTAAGCACGTGTTCTTCGTTTCATTTCATTTCACCTTCAATCTTCATTTCCACCCACTCCACATCATTTGGTTGCTTACATAAAGCCTTGATCCCGAGGTAGTGAAAGAACCTAGGCCGTGAGGAGGTTCTTTGCTCGGCCGAACAATCGTTTGATTAAAGTCAGATCTCGTACGGAACACATTCATCTACTCACATTCCATTAAAGCCCAAATTCGGGGCTTGGTGGTGGCACGCCCCGCACTCAAAAAAGAAGAAGGACCAAAAGTTCATTCCGGCGGCCGCCCCGGCCGAAAAGAGGAAAACAGTATTCTAAAAGCAACCAGTTTGAACTATATTGCTGTTACTCACAATTGATTTTTGTGCAACTAAAATCCATAGACAAATCCAAAGACAATTGTCACAAGTGAGCTACTGTGTGCTCCTTCTGCATGAATGCAAAACATGGCATAATAATCAGACCCATTTCTCTCTGCGGGGCATAAAAAAACCAAAGTACAATTGATTAAAACCATGCACTATCACATAAATTTATTAATCGTACATTGTTTGGTACAACAAAAGCAATCATCAAATGACACTGCAAAAAGAAACGAAAAAAATGCAATAATCCAAATCCAAAAGGCCTTGGACGCTCAACAACCCCTCTTGCTGCACCCATTTAGAGCAAGTGGGATCCATCTCAAGGCCCTCTGTCCAAACAAACTGCTTATAACTATAAACGACAACAATTAATTCACTTGTGTAAATATTATATGCAACACTTGGGAAACCAAAGTGCAAGCCAGACTCTTCAACACTCAGGTGTTTGTGTATGGTCTCTCTTGGGGTCCTGGCAATAGTCATACACCAAGTAGTTCCTCTGCACCCACTCCATGGCTGAGTTCTGCTGCTGGCTCAGCCCCGTTGCGCCGGAGGGCGAGGCCGAGGGCGGCTGGCATGAGGTTGTAGTATGGCCATCGGCTGTGCACCCACCTAGTTTGAAATTGTTGTACCTTCCGATAAATGGTTGGTAATTGTAGTCGGCTTTGTATTTTCCATCCTCCGTGGCCCATGTTGATGCATCCCATATGGATCCATATGCCCACATTGGCCTCAATGGAAACGTGGCATCACCCTTTCTTTGGTATCTTCTTATGGGCACATCATCCACCAGGAATCTGTAAATTATTTACATCATATATAATAAGTCATCATTATTATTGTTAGCTCTACAAACATAATTTAAATGTGTATCAACTCAATCTTCATAAGGCAACAAAAAAATATAAAAAAGAAAATCAATGATGCTAATATAAAAGGTCATTTGTGAATCTCACATACAAGAGAGATGTGATCAGTAATATGATAATTATTTAAACTAATAAAGTAAAAGTTGAAAATAAGTTCAGAATTTTGGGAAATTTACTTTGATGTAACGACTCAATGAACTTGGAAGATTCTTTAGAAAAAAGGGAATAAAAAAAGCAGAATCCTAAGTAGCATTTCCCCTTCAAAAATAAAAAACGAATTGTGTTTCACACATTCCCCTACTAAAGACACAAGACAGTTTGCCTTGATGTTTACCTTACATACACATGCGACATGTAAAACATTAAGTTTGATTGGAAAAAGGTACAACAATTGGTGGTACCACCATACTCACATGATCTCAGTAGGGTTCCATACTATAGCATAGTTATGAAAGTCTTGTGTTGGATCAAACCAGAGATGAAACTTCTTCTCTCTCCCAATTATGTTTCCATCTCCACTTCCTCTAATGTACACATTGGTTTGCAGAGTGTAGGGCTTTCCGGGGGTTGTCCCGAGGAACTCGATATCGATTTCGTCGTGGTTCCCTGGGTGTTCTTCATTGTTAGAGAGCTGTAAAAACAAGCACAGAAAGTTAACACAACCCAATTTTCATTCTTCTTCCTAATCCAGGAATTAATTAATTAATCTAATGCAATTATGTAATCATGCAAGCAAGCCTTACATAAAATGATGTAATTACACCAGCAGTATAACCAGGTTGGAGCTTGACGGCTGCTCCAAAGTATCCAGAACGATATGGATGAAGTGACTTGAACCCACTTCCTGCAGCATGTCAAAAATGTAGCAGATGCTAAAAAAAATCTGAGCTAATAATTATAAATTATCATATAAAAATGACTTAATTGAAGCATAAAACAGATCAAAATTACAAAATTGAAGTATAGAAAAGCATGAAGTTTTGTATGATTGAGTACCTGAGCTAGAATCAAGCCAGATTGTTACTGCACCCTGGTCTAAATTCTGATGCTCAGGTCCCCATAGGTTTCTAAAACCCTGATCAAACCCTACTGTGCTAATTTTGGAACTGGGGTTATAGCCAGGTGAGGGGGGACCCTGAGCACTATTTGAAGAGAACATGAGGAAGAAAATTAAAGGGAGAAGAGGAGCCATGAAGAGGGAAAAAAAAAGAAAAAAGAAGGGGGAATGAGAAGGCAATGCAGCACAAACAGAGTGACTCTGTTTTGAAAACAGGGGTGGGACAGAGAATTGAAGGTGGGCAGTAGTAGGCAAATGAAAATAGTATGGCTTTACAATTGGGTATAAATAGAGTGATCTATGGACCCCACATTGAAAAGGTGAGAAGTTGGTTGATGAGGGAAGTTATACATGGAGACAAAATTGGAGCAATTTCCTCCAGAATACGTCTTGAGTTTGAGTTCTAGCATTTGTGTAGTGTGTGTGAGTTTAACATACAATTGCCTTCTCTCAATAAGAAAAATCCTTTATAAAAAAAAAGAAAAAAAAAAGCAAGATAACAGAAAAACTTGTCGGTTGTGGTTGCCGAATGAGAGGAGAAAAGTGAAGAAGATAGAAGATAAAAAGAGGGGTTAACAGTTAATTTGTTCTGATGGGAAAAAATAGAAGATAAAAAGAGGGGTTAACAGTTAATTTGTTCTGATTCATGACATGACTGCTTGCCTTATAATTTGTCACAAGACTTAAAGAGATATATGTCCAAAATAGCTTAAATCTTGGATATATGTATATATAAATTCTGTGTGATCCTGACCAAGCATGATGGTGTATGTGGATATGGCATGAAAGAGAATTCGGGGGACATTATCCATCTGCATGCTTTGGAAACTATCTTGTTCACAGTTTCAGGAATTTGTAGTAAGTGGGGAAGTCATCTTGTTCATAAAATTTTCAGTGCATGGGGGTTTGCTTGTTTGTGTTTTTTGGGGGGCAAGTTATCTTGAATGAGTTCAGAACCACCTCAAATTCCAATGAGTTTTCCTTTTCAAACCCTTAATTCTCTTTCTCCAAAGCTATATAGAGCAGTCAACAAAATTTACTTGGGATCAAATAGCTAGATGCTTGTTCCAATTGTATCAAGGGACCAAATGAACCTGTTGTCATGATGTTGATGTGGCCAAACATTGGATACTGTCACAACTTCTTTGGACCAGAGCAAGACTAATAAATTTTTTATTATAAAAAAAATTCCATACCTACTCCAAAATTTAAACTTTTTTCTTTTGTTTTTCACTGCAAATCATGTCTAGGTCAACTAATCTAATTACGTTAACCTTTCTATTTTGCAGAAAGTTTAGGTGATATGATCCCCACGTTCATATATGCAAACAGTCTCAAGTCTCCCTAATTTACTTCTTTTACTTGTGACTATTTATACTTCGTTTACCTAATTTTTTTATTTTTATAAAAACATTTCAATAGGAAGAGCAAAACCTACTTTGAATCTGCAAAGCACATGTATTTATAACCAATGCCGTACTGGTCCAATGGACTTTTGGGGACCTTGCAGGGTCAAGGTAGTTCGTTCATAAATTGTGGAGGTAGGTAATGTGAATCAGAATTTGATGAACAACTTGCCGCCTTGACCAACGGCCACATATATATATATATGTTTTCTTTCTTTGACATGAGATGAAATTTCTTTGTAGAACAAAAAAGTTGAACATCCAATAAGGGTCGTGCAGCGTAGCAAGAAAGTACTTAATTGTAGTAGACAATAAAACCCTCACAAGTTTTAGTAAATTTGGCTTTATCCTCTCAAATTAATTTTTTCTTACCTGCAATTCATCACCTTATTTGTTTTATTATAAATAAAACCCTTTTTTTTTTTATATAAGAAAACTCGATGACTAGGATTCATCCAACTTAACAAGTTACATAATCAAGCTTAAAATCTTATTTAATAGAATTTTCAGATTCATAAAATACCACTCCCCTCCTCCCCCCCACCTTTGCACTCAC